GGCGACACACCCGCCGGGGGTCAAACTCTGGTAATTGGCGATTCTGTTCTCAGACATGTGAAGCTAGAGACACCGGCAACCAGCGTTCCAAAAAGGTATTTATTTTATTTGCAGATGACACAAATTTTTATTGCTCTGGAGAGAATTTGAACGATTTGGTTGAAATTATGACTTCTGAGATGTTAAGATTAAAAAAAATGGTTTGATGTAAATAAATTATCTTTGAATCTGACAAAAACGAAATTCATGATATTTGGCAATCGTGTAAAAGGAGGAAGTTATTATGTCCACTGATGGAGAATTGATTGAAAGAGTTACTGAATTTTGCTTTTTGGGTGTGTAGATGAAAATTTGACGTGGAAATCTCATATTGAGTATATTAGAAAGAAGATGGTTAAAAACATTTATATTTTGGGAAATGTAAGAGATTCATTAGACCACAAAACAATGCGCATTTTATATTTTTCATTGTTCTTCTCATACTTTAAGTTACTGTGTCGAAGTTTGGGGGAATACATATGAGAATACTACAAAACCTCTAAACTTATTACAGAAGAAAGTGATACGAATGATTCATAATGTTAAATATAGAGAACATACAAATAAATTATTTATAAAATCCAAATTATTAAAATTAGGAGATTTAGTGAAACTACGGACACTATTAATTATGTTTAAGGCTAAAAGTAATATTTTGCCTTCTAAGTTACAAAGAGTATTTTTAATGTGTTCGGGGGGAAATTTTATTTTAAGCATCAGCTAGCTAGAACTACACAAAGATTAATGAGGCCAACGGTTACGGGTACGACTGTGGAAGTGTCTTCATTATAATTTACAGAATTGCATAAATTTACATAGTTTTAAAAAGTGTTACATGTATAAAACAATAACTCAATATGAAGAATGTGAATGAAATTGGAGTTAATTGAAAAAGGATCCATTATTTTTTTGCCTCATTTATTTTATTTACTCATCTTTTCTCCTTGTTACTATGTGGAGTGGTATATTCTGATTGTAAATGTGTTGTTAGGACCGGAGATAAATGTTAATGTTAGTTTGTTCCTTGACTTTTGGTGCCCACTTGCAATATAAGTTGGATTGTAGAGAGGGGGCGGGGTTTAATACGAATATTTTCTTCTTCCTGCTGCTTTTCACACATGGTTGCTTTACTGACAGACAGTGTGGTTGGTTTGTCTGAAAGAACTAACTGTGGAAACTGTTGACCAAGTGTGAAATAAATAAATAAATGAAATGAAACAATATAAAGCGCCTTGAGGCGACTGTTGTTGTGATTTGACGCTGTATAAATAACACTGAAATGAATTGACCCACAACACCATCCCCCTGGTAACGAAGGCCCAGCAGCTGCACTTCCTCTGTGTCCTGAGGAAGAAGCTGTAGTGGTAAGACTACACACCTTTGGAGCGCAGACCCTTACTGGATTCAGTAAGGGGCCTGGCTAGACCCCCCATGCTAAAACCAAGTCCTAAAATGGCCTCCAGCCTGTCCGCAGCTCGGACACAAGCATTTCACTACTATGGGGTGGATGACTGAATGTAGTGTAAAGCGCCTCTATACAAATGCAGGCCATTTACTACATGTTGTACTCTGTATGATTGTGTATGTGACAATTAAAGCTTGCTTGAAGAATAACCTGGTATAACCAGCTGCTGCTGGCCTTCTACCTCCTCAGTGGAGCACCAACCACCAGGCATGCCTGCCTGGTGCTCAGGGGCCATGACTGACAGCAGGAAGGCTGTAGCCACGTGACCCTGGTAAGGACAGACACAGTCATACACCATCGGAGGCACGAGGGGTCATGAGGTTTAGAGCCTTTTTCCAGCCAGGCAGATAAAGACAGGAGGGACCGAGGAGGAGGTCCAATCTTTTTACATTTAATCCAAAGACAGACATGCAGCCCCACCCCCAACACCACCACCACCACCACCTGCTCACACACACACAGGATTAATCCTGCAGCCATTCAAAGTCCCACAATCGAGGACACGTCCACAGCAACAGTTTTATTGCCTCAAACCAGCAGGAAACAGACTTCATGAGCTGGCTTATCAAAATGAAACAAAAACACAAACAAAAGCAAAACCTTACTTCACAGGAGGTCAGGGGTCAAAGGTCAGAGGTCACCACGTAATCACAGAAATCCTGACTAACATAAAACACGCTGAGAAACAGATCGAATTCATGAGTGAAGGAGGGGAAGGGACCATCATCCATCATAACTGGAGATTTTCCTGCTGACACAGTCATCCTGGAGCCGGCGTTCCCAGTCAGCTGACCCCCAACATTTCGCTCTAACTGGGTCATTTCCTCAGCACCGCGAGTCGAGCCAGGCTTTGAGAGCACTGTCAGTGCTGTTGTGATTGGGGGCTGGGAGTCTCAGGCCCTCAGCAAGACAAAGATCAGATAATCGCTGCTGGCCTTAATCCCTGAGCAGAGAGAGGAGCCTTTATCTGCCAGCAGCAGAAAGGTAGAAGTATGGGAGGAAGACTTCCTGAGACTCGCTCCGAGATTCCTATGCTGACGTCCTCTGTGTCAGCAATAACTCACATTACTGGGAACGGTGTCACCGAAACATCAGTACAACGAGTACACACACACACACACACACGGACACACCTCCTCTCTGTAATCAATGATCGATCTCCACAGACTGAAGCTAACCGGTCGTTCCTCCTGTTGGGATCGGAGCACAAACGTAAACAGAGCCATATGTTGTTTGGGATTGGCTCCATCAGATAAATGCTGACTGCATACTGTGCAGTGATTGGTTAAGTCTGCTCCGTGTCACGGTCACTTATCACCTCTGGGGTGATGAGACTGGGGTTCTCATTGGGCCCAAAACATCAATAAGTAATAATTGGCGTGAGTGGGGATTACTTCCTGGGTGGTCCAGGTATTAGCCAGTTCCCATTCTTCCATGATCGAGTGCTTTCGGCTGAGACGTCCCGGCTCATTAATCAACAAAAGTCTCAGTCGAAGCTTCTCTTGATCTAGCGTTTCCAGCTTCACTGCAGCAGAAACGTCAAGTCTGCCGGGCTCAACGCCGGACGTCAGGAATTAACATGTGACAAAACGCGTCCCAGCACCCCCGTAGGAGGGCGGTGTGAAACCGATTCCATCAGTGATTGCTGAGCGTTCTGTGACCTGTCAGATGAAGGAGCTGCTTGGCATCAGTTACTCCATCGCACTGACACCAGGAAGAGGAGGAGGAAGAGGAGGGAAGCGAAGCAGCATTTGGTGTTTTGGTTGCAGAGGAGTGTTTTTATGTGGCAGCATGCAAAGTGAGACTTTAAGCTGTCAGTAAAACCAAAATTTGGCAAAAAACAAACTCCAAACTGTCTTATTGGCGGGTCAGCTTGGCTTCCGGTCCCTGCACGGCTCTTTAGGAGTGAGTTCTGCAAACGAACGCAGCGCTGCAGCGAGCCATCATCTGCTCTGTCAAACACAAACATTTCCCCGTCACAGCGTCTGTCTGAGAGGAGCGTGGGGTTCGGGTCAAAGACCCCGAGCACCGCCATAACAATGAAGCCATGAATCGGCCCCGCGTCTGTGTCGCTGTGACGTGGAAACCTGCAGGACTCATCACCACAGGTTAGGGTTAACTTCTTATTGTGTGGCACAATCCAAATGTCCCCACCATCCACATTTTCCAACCTCACCGCTTCACTCAAACGTCCCCACAAAATGCTTTTTAAAAAACTGTCTTGAATGACATTTTTGTGAATGAGCCGATGAGTTTCTGTAGTTTCACAAACGCTCCCGTGTGAAGCAGCGCTGTCCTCGCCGACCGACACTGAACAAACCCTTTCAGAGATTTATGCAGCCGCACACACAAACCTGACGGCGTGAGCACGAGATCAAAACGCCGCTGATCGACTTCACACATCAAACTTTTATATTTTCCTATCAGGTCCCCACAAATCCTGGTTTTACGTCAGTGGAACAGCTGTCTACAAACATTTGGACACTTTTAAACAGTGCGTCTTAAAATTTGAACCTTTGCACAAAAACCGTCGAGAAACATCCAAAAAAAAAGCCCAACTTCCTCACCGCGCTTGGATCTCTTCAAATATCCCGACTGTCAGTCGCAGCTTTGCTTTCCAAAGAAATTCCGACTTTGATAACAACGTCCAGACTGCAGCTCAGTGGAAAAAACGAGTTCTTGTGTTCCACAAACATCCTTCGAACGAACTTCCAGACGTTTCACTCGGATATCTCAGCCCTCATCCATCAGCAGCTCCGAGCAGATTTCCTCGCTCACACTGTGACTGTGTGCGGATTTATTATCTGAGGCATGTCGAGGCCTTATCAGCTTCTTTAGAGTACTATCTCATCTGTGTGTGTGTGTGTGTGTGTGTGTGTGTGTGTGTGTGTGTGTGTGTTTTCAAGTTCAAGCAGGCCTTTAACCTCCAGTTTTCCCGTGGGATCTCTGCACTGCCTCGAGGCAAACACACACACACCCTGAGGCACATTTACTCTGCACATCCTCCAGTGTTTACTCATTAATTCTTACAGCGGTTTGTTATCGTCACACACACACACACACACACACACACACAGGTTCAGTAAAACAAAGTCAAATCTGCAGCATGTATCTCTCTTCAAGGGAACAGACTACTTCCTGTACTCGGTTCTTTAAGCCTGTTTCTGTGTATGCAGAGGTCAGAGGTCAGAGGTCAACACAATGACATAAATGAAAGTTGTTTCTGACCATGACTGCAGTTTTATTTCCTGCAACGCACGGAAGACCTCACAAGGACCACAGGAGTACACGTATGACAGGACACGTCTGTATTCATGTGATGTCACAGGTCAGAGGTCATCTGGCAAGAGTCAGCGAGATTAAAGCTCCACACACTCCTGTGTGACTATCAGCTGATCATGTTATTAATGACACACACACAGTAACACCCTGCATGTCCCTGTGCAGCTCCAGCAGCAGCTTCATTAAAGACATTAGTACACACAGGTTAACTTACCTCGAATTCAGGTGGTCCAATCACGAGCAGCTTCTCGGCAGAGCCAATCAGAGCACAGAAAGGCCCAAATCCAGGTAGTAGAAGTCCAGATCCAGATGTAGTCCTGACTAATCCTGATCTGCTGAGACACAGTGGGAGAGAGGAGGCGGTCAGGCCTTTCGTCTTCATCCAGGTGCATTGTGGGAGGGGCGCAGGTGTCCCTGAGACCTGGACACCGGCAGATCTGACCACAGCCGGCCGGAGGGTTCAGGTCCAGAGAGAGAGGAGGGCTCGATCCCTGCTCCAGTCAGGATATCTCTGACTCACACTCCTCTAACAACACAGCCGGATCAGATTTGCTCCAGTTTTATGTTTTCCGTGAACTCCGTCTCATTCATCCACCTTTCCATACCTGAGCCGGGACATACCTGGAAGCACTGTGGGACACTCGGAAAAAGCAAAGACATGAAAACTGCTTCAGAAAAACCTGCACACACAAAGGACCAACAACATCATCCAACCACCAAGCCTCTAAACGAGCTACACCCTCCAGCAGAGAACCAACCAGAGAAGCAGGAGGAGCAGGAAGCCGGGGCGTTCCCAGACCTGGTTCCACCTGGAAAGGTGAGTCCAATAAAGCCGAGAGTCCGACAGGAGCAGGCGTCTGACTGGCTGTAGATACACGTGAAGCTCAAACGGAGAAGAATATGGAAACCAATCTGACCAGTTAACATAAAAACCACCAGTTCACCTGGAGCTGAGCGCTCAACACCTGCACTGTGGCCTTCTGCACATGCTCAGTGCTGTCTGCGGTCCACAGGTGTTACCTTCAGGTGAGTTTGTTGGGTTTTTTGCAATGCCACGAGTGACCACTGGGAGCAGCAGGACCACGGCTAAAACAGCAGGATACAATATCAGTGCCGCCGGAATGTGACCTTTGACCCTCTCTGACAATTACAACTCATAACTGTAATTCATAGTAGTAACTTCGGAATGTGTGTTTGTTTAGCTGATATCCGTCCATGTAAATGAGGTCACATGTCAGCTGTCCTGCCTTTATGCTCAGTCTCTGCTGCGGTGACCTTTCACCTCTGACACAAGCAGCAGAGACGACCGCAGCAGTCAGCAGTCCTCTGCAGCACAGGCTGATAACACCCGCCCTCAGTAATCCTGGATGCTGAGACAGCTTCAGCACAGGAAAGAGGAGCAGCGTGGGATCTGACACTTCCTGTTGGTGAATCCGAGCGTCGACACGCAGACTTTGGACTTTCACTCAAATGGATCCTCAGGAAAACGAGCATCAGCGGAAGAACTCTTGGACATATATGAATAGACGTGAGCTTTACTGACAGTGAGAGAGGAGATGAGTCCATTATCCTGATGAAGACCCTCCGTTAGCGGGATGATCTAACTCGGGGCCACATTAGTGACTCTCTCACATCTCTGGCTGCTCCGGGCCTCCGGAGGCAGCGAGAGGTCCAGATGTGGATGGATGCGATGCCGGGATCAGCAGAGGGAGCGTGGAGGTCTGCCGCAGCCGTCGTGGAAATAAAAGAGATGTGAGCACTGAGCCTCCGAGCGGCGAGCACGGGAGGTGAGTTATGGGCGGCGACAGCCGACAGGTCTGAGCAAATGAGCCGAAAAGAGAGACGAGTTCAGACGGAGCACGAGGCGGCGAGGGAGAAAATTAAAGGAGGAGAGAAATGAGGGGAGGACGGCAGAAAATAATGAAAGAGCAGATCCTGCAGCGGTGACGCGCAGCCACGGGGAGTGCGCTCAAGTCCCTGCGTCATGCAAACTCTGCAGTCAGATTTGATTGTGATTTGTTTGCCGGCGTTCGGTGGGAGGAATCAGCCGGAGCGCTCCCACTTCTGTTTGTTCTGCACCAGGTTTCCCGGGAAAAAGACGTCCTGCTGGCTGCACATCAAACAGACAAAAGCCAACGATCCCACAGAACGCTAATCAGAACACACACAGGAAGTGATTTCCTCCACAAGCAACAAAAGCACCACGCGAGGAGGACGCCATCGAGCGCGGAGATGCTCCAACCACCGACCTGTCGGTGTCGGTGCTGAGCCCCACACAGCTCGTTACAGTCCTGTGCTGTTACTCACACGCACGCTCACGTCCTCCTCGCCATCAGCCAGTGCCCCGGCGCAGGTAACCTCCTGCCTCGATCACGGGGAGTATTCCCAGCAGTGGGAGCTCTGGGAGAAGTTCATGTGCAGGAATAGCTTCATGGAAGCACATCACACATCCGGGAGTGTGACAGCAGTCCACACTCACACTAAAGGACTCTTCAAAATCATACGTGATAGAAAAAGTTCCCATAATTCCTCTCTGCTTTAGTGCTGCTTATGGGTAAAGTGCTGGTGTGCTGCAGTGTTTCACACAGGCCGGGTCTAATCCGGAGCGCTTCACGCTCGCTCTCTCTCTGCAGCCTCGCCGGGTTAATAAGTGTAAATCTTCCAGCAGGGAAACCGCCACATCTGTCACAGCTGGTGCCTGATACAGATCCTGATACTGCAGCGGGTTCATGCACCCTGCACATGCAGCAGCTTTAAATCTGACCGCTCACCTTCAGCCTGTGTGTGTGTGTGATGATGCAGCCGGGCGGAGAGAGCTGCTCTAAGCCGGATAAATTCATAAACAGTGTTTCAGCGCCGCTTCAGAACGACTCTGAAAACAGCGAGCGGCGACTCGCTCCAAAGCTGCTCGCTGTGTCTGCTCTCTGTCCGTTTAGCTTCACCCAACCTCACCTGACCTCACGCTCCAACCCAGCAGTAAAGGAAACAGAAACAAATGTAGAGAACAGGCTTCAGGTCAGTGCCCTGGGACAAAACATGCTTCTGCGTCCGTAGGTTAATTAATATTAACGATTACTGATCACAGCAGATCGACAGGACGCCACTCACTCATGGCTCCGCTGAGAAAAACGGAGAGGAACTAAAAACCAAACTGCTGCAGCCTCAAACTCATACCAGGAAAATTTATGGTGATGGAAAACAAACGAATACTAATGAAATGAATTCATTGAATCTATGAATCATTTATTCATGCAAACACAAAGAACATCGTCTCCATCCTTTCACTGAAACAAGCACTGGGTGCAACAAAGTAACAAATTACTGTAAAAACATTACATTTTTCAGGAAGGCAGTAACAGTAACTGTACTAAGTTATGTCCTTACAAAGGTTCTTTGGTGATCTGCACGCTAAGCTAGCCGAGAACCCAGAGTGATGATCCAGTGCATGCAGACTCCAGTCCTGCAGCCAGAGCCCGATTTCGGTCAGCGACGCTGTGACTGTGCAGCAGGATAAACACGGAAACACGTCTCCTGCCTGCAAAGTTGTGTGGCGCGTTCATCTTTTGTTAATAAGATTATAACGTTTCCTCTTCCTGTCTCATGGCGAGCGCTCTGCCAGTGCTGGGCGGAGTCTTGTGTTGAAGTGTGGGTTTCACCGGCCGCTAGCATCTCCTCACCAAGTGGTAGCCTGATTAGACTAGCGCTGTGTTTTTAGATGCTAAATGATCATTGGGCGCTGACGTCCTCGCCATCAGACGTGATTGTTGGACACATAAACATGCGACATCACTCCATCAATCGCACTCTGATATTACACTTGTTCACATGATGTTTTATTTACACGGCACAGATATTCTTCTGTGTTTTGGGTCGTTACAAGCTGACCTGAGGTCAGCTGATAAAACATAAAGACCGTCTCAGTGTTTGAACTGAAAGCCTCATTACCCGTGAACAAACACGTCTCTGTTTCCTGCAGCAAAACCAGGTAATCTGCTGCCTATTAACACAGCATTACCAAAAACTGGGCTAATCCACCCATTGTTCTGTGTGCGCATGTGTGTGTGTGTGTGTGTCTTTGTGTTTTGTGCAGTCTGAATGACGGGGAAAAGGTCACCGGATGAATCTGCTGGATCAAACGGATAAAGACACAACAAAAAGTGCAGGAGGCGACCAATGAAAGGCCACCTAACACACACACATACACACTCAGAGACACACAAAGAAGCACACACAGCTGGAGTGTGAAACACACTGCAGCCATCCTGCACATGCCTGCCTGGCAGCGGGTAGATCCTGGTAGCCTGGAGGTCAGCCAACACACACACACACACACACACACACACACACACACACACACACACACACACACATCAGCCTGATGGTTTCCTGCTTTCGGAGCCTCCTACGCCCCTCACTGTGAACGGTGAGCCAAGAAAACGTGGAAACAGATGCCGATGGCGTTCCTTCAGAGCGCGGTGGCGGCTCTGACCTCGGGTGCTTCAAATTCCTTCACTTTGAGAGGAAACTGTTTTTCCTCCACAGCAGAGTCGTCATCGACAGCTGGAATCTACGGTGGCCTTAAACCCACGTTTAAGGAAACAAAGACAAAAACACTGCAAAAGCCCAAAACAGAACGGAGCTGTTTCTGGGGACACAATAACGGGACGGACCAGCTGTAGGGGTCACACAAGCTGTGTCCCAAAACGTCGGATGCATCCTTCGGAGGACCCGCCTTCGCGGTCTACGTTGGCCGGGTCCTTCGAAGACCGAGAAGGCCGGAAGTGTGAGGCTGTGAAATGTGACGGTCTTGCCTTCAGATCTGCGTCACCGCTGTGTCGGTGGGGTTTACTAAACTCGCCGTCTGCTCCTTGCTGTCTAAAATATAACAGGACACTGGAGTAAACTCTTCACCGTCTCACACTCTGACGTTTATTCAGCTGTGTGATCCCGGAGGAACCCACTCGATGGATTAATAAAGTTTAATTTAATCTAATAAACTAATAACTTTGATGTGAGCCAAACCGTCTGAAAACGATGAAGCCGGGGGGGTCCGCTGCTCTCGCCGGCTCGAGTGACCCTTGAACCCCCCGGCTCGCTATCGAGCTGGTGGGTAACAGACGTCTCCGAAAACGTCGGCGCACTTTTGCAAATATGCGATAAACCGAGCAGATATTTGAAGTTTACACAGATTCTCGCCTGAAAATATGTTAAAGGTTTATTTTGTGACCCAGAAAGAATAATAAGAGTAATTTTAAAACTTAGTAGCGGCCGCCATTGCCGGAAACTGGAGTTTGGCTGGGCCGTGCTATGAATTCTGGAATATGGTGGACCG